GTCTTTGCTTTTAGGTTTGCATATATTCTGAGAGTTTGTTCTCCATTGATAAGTGAGTGCTTGATTTCACCTATCTACTTCCAGCTTGGTAATAGCACATCCCAGTGCCACCAGCCTCCTCTGTTCTCCCGAGATGAATTCTAAATGAGTAGTTTTGAGACTAAGCCTACAGATGATCACAGACAGGGGCAACTTCTGTCTCTCAGTCAACCTTGGCAGTATCATCCTTGCAGGACTTGACCAGATCAAGAGAATAAGTTACAATTATTTTAATAGATTCAAGATTAGTCATTTGATTGTCAACATGTAAATGTCTAGATCAGGCAGATCAGTTCAGGGATCTGAGCTGTGTTTAAAAATTACTAACTTTTTTCTTTCTAAGTGCACAGTTCCACACGGAACATGTTGCCACAGCTGAGAGGGGTGCCATGGGTATGAGAACAAGTTCCCCCACAGTGAGTGTTGCTGAAGCTAGCATGCCATCACCAAAAGAGCTGCTTACCAAACTGCACCTTTAATTCTGCTCAAGGCTTTGTGGCTTTTTCACCCTGGCATCTTGCTACCAGTGAACAGCAGATTTCATTGTGCAGTCCTTCCTTTGGGTATTGCAAATTTGGGAAGCAATCTAGTTAGCCGCTTCACAGCTAACTTGTTCTATTCTTGATTTTTATTTTTTTTTTTTGTCTCACCTGTCTTTAATTAAAGAAAGAGTGTCTCTGGAGGTTGCAAATCAAGCTGCTTGGAACCGCCCGCAGCTAACTTTGGTCAGCATAGAACATCCTAGTCTTTCTGACCTTCTCATCAGCACTGGTTTCCTGACACTATTGTCAGCTGATGTCTCATTTTAGGATTCCTATAAACTATGTGTCTGATGATTTGGTCCTTTTTCCCTCTTTGTCTTATGATTTATCTTTGCGAACTGGCATGAAAATACCAGAAGTAGGGAAGCTGTATCTTTTAGGTGTGTCCATTTCTCCTTCTCCCTTTATAACCTTTTTTGTTGTTTTAAAGCCCAAATTATATGCAGTTAAATTTTAATTAGTTTTGGAACAGAAAATGGCACATTAAAAAACCATAACATTTATGCATGTGGGGAAGGGAGAAATTAGTGATTGTTGGGTGTCTGTCAAAAGACTTGCTTTATGTATATCGAATGGCATAGCTGTGTCTAACAGTGCTTTTCAAAGACTTCAGCCTTATCTCTGGACATAACATAATGCTTTTGTTTAATAAACTTCTAATATGTCTACCAGATAACTGCTACACTTGCTTTTATTATATTCTGTTTTCTGAGATGGCTGGTTGATTAGGTACTATGACTGTAATAATAAAAGGAAGGCGCTGGGTATCAAAACCTGTGAGCAAAACTTAAAGCTTGTTGATGAAACTGGCTAATGGCAGAAGCCCATGCTCTGTCAGGCTTGCCATGCCCTGCAAAACATTTTTAATAGAGATGCATAGAAGTGTGCACTGTAATATTTACCTACTGCTGTGACATTTATTTTGAAGGGTGGTTTTTGAGTTCCTGATCTGTATTTCAGTGTAACTGTAAAGATTTTTTTTTTCCTTAGGCAAAACAATATGATTTAGACAATATCTTTAAAGGTTTTGTAATGGATAAAACTTTTTTTTTAAAAATCTTCTTAGTTTCACAAAACTACTTTCAGAGTGCAGTGGTTTACTACGTAACATTTAAAATCAATAAATAATCCTTGGGAAGTCAAGGAATGCAAGAGAAAGGAGAAATTTGGATTGTAGTACTGGATCCCATACAAATCAGTGATTACAGCACCAGTGTCATCAGATTAGGGCTTATGGACCAAAGCAGAGGAACTGCAGATGGGAAAAAGAGGAGGGGAAGGGCACCATGACAAGAGCTGGAAGGCAGTTGCAGACAAATGTCTCACCAAAAGGGGAAGATAAGATAATTTTGTTTCCGAGTGTTAGAAACCTCTAAAAGGAAAATGTTGTGGTAACTTCTCTGATCAGGCAAGAGGCAACACCAGAGCCCTGTACTGTGTCCTACTGACTCATTCCCAGCAGCCATTCCTGTCTTGTCATTGATGAAGTTAGAAGATGGGCAGCTGTTCAAAGCAAAAGCCCTTGTCTGAAGGTGTAATAGAGGGGGAGCAGGAAATGTGTTTTCAGCAGAAAACATACAAGTATTTTTGCTGCTCTTTTCCCCTATTGAATTTCAAAAAAAAAAAAATGACTAAACACGGGAACTATTGCTTTCTGTGGATTGACCTAGTCAGTTGGCTATGTATGAGAGCTATAAATATATATTGATTTAATCCTGTTTAGATATTGTTCTGTATATGATACCTAAACCACTAGGTATTCAGCAAAGCAGTGGGAAGAAAAATGTCTACAGAAACTCAGTGGATTACACAGTGATCCAAGAATACAGGAGTGTGGTTGACCCACATTTGCTTTTGGGCTGTACCACAGTTGTTTTGCTTTTTGCTATTTTTAGTGTGCTAAAGCAACCCTCAGGGATCATGCGAACTTAGGTCCTTGAGATTAAAGAAAACCTACTGTAGCTAAAGGAGAAAGAAAGTTTACAAAGCAAAAAGCAAACACACCCCGCCCCCCCATTTTTTTAGTGCATTAGTATGACTTGTTCTTACTTTTTTTTCCCGTTACTATTTATATAAATATTGTTATATATTTATATATGGTATATTAGATATTTAAAGACTATTTTAAATTTATAATTAATATTTATAAATAATTAGTCTGATATTTTTGAGGGGTTTTATTGTTTAAACTAGGAGCAAGTAGAAGTACCAGTTGAAGCAGGGACTTTGTAGCAATTTTGCAAGTATAGTATATGTTGCTTTCAAAGACCTTGCAGTCTAAATTGACAGGACTGATCAACACATAGTGTGGAAGGGGGGAGAGCAGTAAGCAAGGACAACAGGTAGAAAAATGGTGCAACATTATCATGCACATTCTGACTTTTACTGAATTCTATAGAAGTTTTTGGGATGAATTTTCCACATTCTACTATTTGCTAAATATCTTTATGAAGTATAGAAGTGAGAAAGATGAGACTACAAAAACCTGTGCAAAATTTGGGAGACACTTATTTTAGCTTCCTTTTTGTTGTTTGTTTTCCTCTCTTTTAAAGTCTTAGCTTCTGGTGTCTGTGTTGATGTGAGACACTCTGCTTATATTTAGGGTGATGAAGAGAATTGGGAAAATGAGAACAGGTTAAAATCTTAGAAAACAGAAGCTTGACTTTTCTTCCAAATAGGAAAAAATATCTTTTAAAATGAATTAATAGGAAAAATAGGAAATAATAGGAAAAAATATCTTTTTCGTATGATTTTAGGCCTGATTCCTGATTTCTATAGGTTTGAATTTGGAACTGCTTCTTCAGGAGGGGTTTAGTGGTGGGCAAAGTGGTGGTCTTTTGAAATCCATTCCTCAGGCAAAATTGTAGATGACAGTGAGACATACCCTGTGAATGTGATGTGAACAGAATCAGTAGGCTGCATTTAAAAGTGATGTTGTGTGGATAGAACTAAATTCATAATAGAGTAGATAGTCTGCAAAAATAGCATATCCAAGGATCCATAACCTAAGGGAGACTGTGTTGAAGCATCTAGTTGCTTTGGAAATCTTTCTTATTTCTTGCTCTATCATATGTTATAAATCGTTGTGCATTTTCTTGTGAGGAGTCCCCTTGGAGCTGCTGCCCATGAACAGCGTGCAGCATCAGCACTCAGATCACAGTTGGCGATGGAGTAGAGGGAGCTGTGCAGCTGCCCTGGCTGATCTGGGATGTGCTGCTTCCATGACTGGAGGAAAGTCGAGTTGCACTGTGTGAAAGAGAAATGGAAAGACTGTGTCAGGTCATCTGATTTTTCCTTTCTTAAAGCATGGCAATAAGATGAAATTTGCTCTTCCTGTTCATTTGTTGTTTGTTCAGAAGCAGGGTAGCTCAACTTTCTTCACATGGTCCTTCCACCGACTTAGACTTTGACAGAGGACGTGGGTTCCTGGGATGACAGGAGTGGGGCTTGGTGATTCTCTTATCTGGTTTAGGAGATAATACAGCTTTGCTAAATACAGCCCTGCTGTTGCAGCAGAGCATAAGCACAGCTGCTTTGTAACGGGTATCAAATGAATTGTTCTGTTTTTTTATTTTCTGTGAAATAAAGCTTGTTTTAGCATGTTTATAAGCATGTTGTAAATGACATCGAAACGTATTTAGGAGTTCAAATGTCTCCTGAGGGAAAACCAGAGGGAAGGTATTTCTTAAAAAAAA